CTTTATGCCGATGAGATTTTGAAAGATGGGTTTTGTTTGAACATGGTTGAGACGCCGCTGTGCCCTTTGAAGGTTGTGACTAGTTTGCAGGAGGCTGTTTGGGATGCTGATATTGTGGTGAATGGCTTGCCATCAACGGAAACAAAAGACGTGTTTGAAGAGATTAGTAATTATTGGAATGAAAGAATCACAGATCCTATTATCATCTCTTTGGCAAAAGGTATCGAGGCCGCACTTGAGCCTCTCCCGCATATCATAACTCCCACGCAAATGATTCATCAAGCAAGTATGTTTCTCTTCTTTTAATTTGACTGTGAACCTTCAGTATGTTGGGTTTTAACTTTAAAGTTCAATTAGAAATATGCTACTGAAGTGAGTAAAGCTAAAGCAACCGTAGTATATTGTTATTGCCACTTCTCAATTTCTGTTCATTCTTTTCTGTTTGACTCGCAGCCGGTGTACCTATAGAGAACATACTTTATCTGGGTGGCCCAAACATTGCCTCAGAAATCTACAACAAAGAATATGCTAATGCTCGAATATGCGGAGCTGAAAGGTGGAGAAAACCTCTCGCGAAGTTCTTAAGGCAACCCCATTTTACTGTCTGGGACAATAGCGATCTTGTTACACATGAAGTCATGGGTGGCTTAAAGAATGTCTATGCCATTGGAGCAGGTAAATCTGAAATTCATTCTGACAGACATATCTCATACAATAAGGGTGGACTCCAGTTAAAAGAAATGAACTTTTAGGTGTTCAAGAATTTAATTACAAGGAACAACTTTGGATACCAATCATCTTGATTTCCGATGTCCTTTTTCATAAACATGAAAAAGGAATACAGTGAATGAGAAATCAAGTTTTCTGCTTGGTTATTGTTGTTCACCTTCATTTAAGTAATAGTAATTTTTGTTCCGCTTCATTAAATTTCTAAGCTACGTACACCTGATACCGTGTTAATGAGGACAGATTTGAAGAGAAGTATTTGATGCTTTTATATGATTTAGAGTCCTGTTTTTACGAAAACACTACTCTTCAATTCTGTCCTCAAGGTATCAGATGTATGAAGCTCTGAACCATGATAAGAGGGATATGTTTTCAGTTAAAATCAGAGGCTATCCTGTTCCCTTATTTACGAGCTGACATTACTGTTTCAAATGGAATAATTCACAACTGACTGTTCAAGAACTGTCAGAAAATTCCTGCCCAGACAAACTTGAAATTTGTTGTATACGAACTGTAGTTTCCCGGCATTGCTTAGGGAAGCTTCTCAGAAGAATGGAAAACCAATTCAGTTCTATAGCTATAAATATTGGATGATGTAATGGCCATTTTTCCTTTTAATTTTCTCAGGGATGGTAGCAGCCCTCACAAAGGAGAGTGCTACCAGCAAATCTGTATACTTTGCACATTGTACCTCAGAGATGATATTTATCACTCATTTGTTGACGGAAGAGCCCGAGAAACTTGCAGGGCCTTTGTTGGCCGACACATATGTAACCCTGTTGAAAGGTCGCAATGCGTGGTATGGGCAAATGTTAGCCAAGGGGGAATTAAACCGGGATATGGGTGAAAACATCAGTGGCAAAGGAATGATTCAGGTATTAGTTGTTATTTACTTTCGTTTTCAATCCCTTACAAGATATATTCATTTCAATTCACAATTATACCTCAGTAATTAATTTAAAAGAGAAATGATTGACCTGTAAAAGTATGTGCAATCAAGTAAACATTTTAGTTATCCAATCATCAGACAAGGCACATCTAAATAAAGATTGAAGATGTGTGACATTGTATAAGTGTAAGAAGAATGTGTGAAGAATATGATTACTCCTCCATAACAGCACTAGCAAAGATCTGGTCCGGCTAAAATGTGCCCTTGTCATTCCATTGAGGAATTTTTTTTGCTTCTAGGGGTGTCCAGCTAAAGCGTGCCCTTGTAATCCATTTCTTCTAACTTGTTACCGATCTATGTATAATGCTCTGACCCCTTTGCTTCTAGGGTGTCTCTGCAGTCAAAGCATTTTATGAACTTCTCAGTCAGTCGAGCCTAAATGTGTTGCATCCTGAAGAAAACAAGCCTGTTGCTCCTGTAGAGCTCTGCCCCATCTTGAAGACGCTATATAAAATACTGATAACACGGTACTTTCCCGTAAACTTATAATTCGAAAGATCATATTTAGTACGACCGGATCATGTTTGGCATTACTTTGTATAACATCTTTGGAATGTATATCAATTCTTTGCCATGTGTATTGTTTTATCCCCAGGAAGCAATCATCGCAAGCTATTCTTCAAGCGTTGAGGGATGAAAACTTGAACGATCCCAGGGAACGCATTGAGATTGCACAGAGCCATGTCTTCTATAGGCCTTCCCTCCTCGGACAGCCTTTGACTAGTTTCCGACTGCAAGATAAAGTGGTGATATAGGGGTTTAAAACTATTTGTGATTTGTGTGAAATGTGCATTATCTTTGGATCGAGAAATTGGTCATTAAAGGAAATATGTACCCATCTGGCACTGCTTGTATTTGGTTAATCTTATTAATAAAACACCCTATCGATTCTGTTCAAACAATCATTTGTCCTGTTTCACAATTTTTAGGTGATCTGATCTAGCAATTTAATTCAATTTCCATGATTCCGGAATGGCTGGAGACCAATTGGGTTTAATAATTCCTGGGTTTTATTTCGATAATTTGTTTACTTGGTTAAAAACAAGTTGCTTTTGCTGCAGTTCGGTGAAAAGTTAAGGAAATTGTTGTGATGGTTTTGCATGTGAAAACATGATAAGTGTTTGATGAATTGTGTATGTGCAACTCTGTATATCTTGCCACTCTTACTGCATCGGCTTAGCCTGAAATGAAATGCTGCTTTGGGATCTGCATGTAGGTTTCTTCATTCTTTATATATGATGTAGAAATTCACTGTCAGGCAAACAAATGCATGTTGAATCCGGTGTCCTCTATCGTTTCCTTTCTTTCGTTTCTCAATCAGATTTCCCTTTTCCCTCGCAATATTAGCGGTTAGAAGACAATCTATGTAATCTATATGTGAATTCTGTTAATCATGGTGTTCTATGCTTACTACATTGTCATTTCTTGGGCTTCATCTGCTTTGTGTGTGTGAGAAATAGAGAGAATCTTCAGGAACAACTGTTTGTTAAGAGTATGCTTATGGTGAGTTGAGAAAAAGGGATTTGCTTGCTTGTAGTAACTTTTCAAATGTCTCATACAGCGTTCTTCTGTGTAAGTGGGTTGGTTGCGGGCTATGCAGAGAAAGAATGAGAGCCAAACCACGCATGGAAAGATTGGTTTGTGTGGAACAAGGATGCCACCATATTCATTTGTTTCACAAAGAAATAAAACTTAAAATACTTTTTTCACTGTTGGAGTAATTACTTGCTTATATGATCCTAATACATTTGAACTTGTTGCAAATTCTAAATTTTAATCTCCAGCAGTGATGGATGGCTTATCTCAGGTGACGGGAATCCTGCCACAGGGTTAGAATTTAACAACTTGCAAAGCAGGATGGCGAATGATGATCAGAGCTTTCTCTTGTACTTCATTATTGGTACCTACTTTGGGCCCGATCTTAAAGGTGAGCAGCCGCCAAAGTCAGTGTTGCAGAGAAGAGCTGAGCGACTTCTACCATATACTATTGAGCAACTAGGTGTCTCCCACCTGGAAGTGGCGGAGGTAGAGCAGGTGTACTATTATGTTCTTCAAAAGGCTGGCCAATTACCCTCAGTTTCCCAATCTCTTTCCTCTCCTACTCTGTCTCCATTTACAGTTCAATAACAAAGATGATATCTTTGAGAACATTGTATTTATTCATAACCCAGAAATATATTATGTTAAGCCAAAGGATATTGAACAATTTAAGAGGCTTACTGGGCTGGAGGATTTTCTTCTGGACAGAGATGCTGCAAGGCTGCATACTGTTCATGATGGAAGTGTTTAACATAATGTGTCGGAGCAGGAGCCAAAGTCGTGAGTCACCTCCCGCTAGTTCTTGCCAATCCATTTAGAGGATCTCATGGAATTGAAGGATCCTTTGAAAGTTGAAACCTATGCATGTTGAGGCACCTATCAGTACTGTTCCAGATAGTTGTACTCCTATGCTGCATTGTTGTAGGTCCCTGCAGATGAATAAAAATGACTCTGGTCCTGTGGGGAAACTTGATCGTGCTATGATTTTTCTTCCTTCTCTTCCAACTAAAAAAAGAGTTGTCCAGTACTGTAGCTTCCACCAGAGATGGATTTGCATTGACTGGGAGTGTGGCAATGGCGAAGGTGAGACCAACAATAGGGCTCATTGACATTGGAGAATGTGACGACTCCTACCTGTTTCGTGTATCGCTTCCTGGAGTGAGAAGAGATGAAAGTAAGTTTCTCTATACAACCACCTGTATTGCCCCTTGATACTACCCCTTTTATAAGAATCAAATGATGCAGACTGATGATTTCGTTTTCCACCGCAGGGGGATTCAGCTGTGAATACACTCAGATGTTTGAAATGCAAACACAGAATCTTTGCCCTTCAGGGCAGTTTTCTATCTCATTTCAGCTACCTGGTCCAGTTAATCCTCAGCAGTTTTCTGGTAATTTTGGGACGGATGGAATTCTGGAGGTAATTGTGATGAAACGAAATGATGTCAAGTAGTAAGTAGGCTTAGCTAAAATTTAGTCAGCCAATGTGTATTTGTTAGGAACACTGACATAAGTTCTGTTCTTGCCAAATTCCACTGCGTGGTATTGTCGTTGAATTGAAATACAAGATGAAAGTTTCACATGCATGCCTGGAAAATGTTACTGTTGGAGGGAAAATGTTACTTTTGATACTGATTTGCTGCAGAAAAAGCTTGCAGCTGCTGCTACTGGTGGTGGATATGCATACTACTAAGCAAAGTCTGTGATGTGCAATCGACTGATGTGGTAATCAATCTAAACCCAACATGTTATAATTGAGTGAACTAGTAATAATACCATATCGGTATCTGAGCGTTGGTCACTATAGGTTCCTTGCCGTGTTACCATCACGCACAATAATTTTTCGTGGCATATGGCTGCCAACGACCAGTACGCTTATGGTGGGTCTATGCCAATTGAGCTCCATACACGACCTACTGTCCCATCGGTTGAGCTATCTTCATACTTGTTTTCATATGTATGATTATGTCACTTACTACTACAGTTTAGTGTTATTCCTCCTCACTTGTAAGTAAGAGATTTTAGGTTCGATTCTCATCAAAAGTAAATTTGAACCACATTATTGCTAGCTATTGTGAGATTAAACTCATCTTCTCTCCTTTTAGTGTAGACAATATCATTTATTAAAAAAAAAAGTATGATTATTCGTAAAATCTTTAACCCTATAATATGGTAACAGAGGATCTAACGATGTTTTAATTTAATACTACAAAGTTCTTTTTGGTAATTATAATATTGTTACATATTAATTACCGATTTTGTGGTTAACATACACTATACTAAATGATAGTGAGCAAAAATGCTCCTCCGATTTTTTAGGGTACTGTGGATATCCTGTGCATCAAAATTCAGAAAGCCATTTTCAACGGGTCAATTAGATATTTAACCCGAATCGGCATTCATTCCCTAGTTACCGTTGGGAACTAATTAGCTTGAAGCCCAAGCTCTCTCTCTCTCTCGCGCTCAGACAGAGAAGGAAAAGGGTTCCAAATCCCTGAAACCCCTCTTCAGATCTCTGTCAATTCGTTCAAATTCATCCCTTTCTAGCCAAACCCTAACGACCCTTTTCAGTTCTTGGTCATTTTGTTACGTCGATGGCTTCTCCACTCGCTTCTTTTAATCTCTCAAGAAAAAGAGCAGAAGAAGAGAAGGTGATTGTGGGGTTTCTGACGATGGAGGACTTCAAAGGCATGGACTTTAATGACGATTTTCATCGTTCTTTGTCCTCCATCGATCGTCTGTGCGAGGTTCTTTGCGTTCGTATTCGAAAAAACGAGCAAGAGAAACAACTGAAGGATGGCTTTGCCGGAAAAAGGATCAAACCCTCAAGTTCAACACCAACCGATTTTGCTTCTTCTTCTTGTTCAAACGCTGCCCCTTTTCAGCTCCCTGGCATACTGCCGCAGGGCAAATATTTCAATCTGGGTTTTGATCATAAGAAGCAACTGAAGAACGAGATCCGACAGCCCAGTTTCAATTCCAATTGGGCGCTGCAGGGTAACCCTAAGAAACCAAGGTCAAAATCTAGTTTTGGGAAAAACCCTGCTACCGCTACTGCTACTCATGAATATGTTGATCTGAAGAGTAATATTGATTCGAAGTTGAAAAGAAAATATGATGGTGATGAAGATTGGTCTGCTTCCGAGAAGAAGACAAAGACGAAGAAGAGGGTGTACACCAAGAACAACAAGACTAGTTATGTCTGTCCTCCGCCTGATTTGCCGGAAGAATACAAGAAATTGATCATCGGCAAGATGAACGGGACAGAGTTGACACTGCTCATACAGAAGAAGTTGTACCCCACTGACGTCAACCCCAACCATAACAGGTTGTCTTTGCCTCCGCTTCAAGTCTTGTCCGGCAGTTTCCTCACATCTAATGAGATTGAAACCCTTAATCCGAAGCACAGTCGGAAAAGTCGTGATCTGGGTTTCCTTAATATTCCATTTATCGATCCAAGTCTCAAGCTTAAAGAAAAGAAAGGGATCAACTTGAGTCTGTGGACGCTGTCGAACTCAAACAGAAAATCCTACGTGTTGAAAACTGGTTGGGGTAAGGTTGTTAAGAAGAACAAGCTGGTTGCTGGTGATGTAATCCAGGTTTGGTCATTCAGGGCTAATGGCAATCAACTTCACTTGGCAATTGTTTTGGTTCAAAGAGCGAAGGAATGCAGCAATCAGAGTGGAGGGAGCAGCCATGTTTTTTGTGGTGATCATGGAATTGAGTGGGGTGGAATGTAGCACAAGTGCAAGTACTGATGAAGTTGTGGACACCCACAGTGATCGTTCATTTGTCACACGAGTGAAGATGATGTTTTAAGGCTCGACTGTAATTATGGTCGTTCCACAATTTCGGTTTGTAGAGTTTATATTTTTACGAGCTTTGTTTATAGTTCAGGCTTGATTTGTTTGCAATTGTAAATGCTTAATCAGCCTTAGCCATGTTTGTTGTCGATGAGTCAACTGTTCAATGTTGCAAGCATGTGCATAAACTCTGTGCATGTAATTTTTTGATGAAATATAATCATATTTTTGTAAATCGTTATAAATATGATCTTTCCTTTTGTTGCTCAGTTTTTATAATATTGATTTCTAAGCTTGATTTTACGAACCGATTAAGAATAACTACATCAGTTAATACTTATTTGCAAATACTGGTCTGCAGGGTCAATGCTGCAGTTGTTGCCTGTTATTAGTTTATTTGGTTTTGGGTCATGACTGATAGTTTTATGTACTGCTCTGCTCTGCAGCTGCTAGAGATGAGAAAAATTTGTCAAAATGTTAGTTGTTCTGGCGGCGGAGGAAGGTTAAAAGTATCACTAGTTTTCTGTTTTCACATATTGGCATCCTCGTCATGTTTCATCACTTAAGCCTGTGGCGGCCCTTTGTTAATTTCTTTGTTCTATGGGTGTTGGAGGCCTACTGTATCCAATGTATGTCAATTGTCATATGAAGATCACCTTGTTCTTCTTCAGTGCAGGTGTAGGTCTTCTGTTTTCGTACAATCAAATTATTTCAAATTTTTCACCAATGCGAAAACTGGAATTCTCCTCCTGTGAATGTGATGCATAATGTTTGTTCAGATAGGTGTTATGCTCAGACACTTACACAAAAGAGACTTAACAGATGAGGTTTTGTTCAAACAAGATATACGAATGTTAGCATTGAACATTCAGCTATGCCAGTTCAGATGGCTAATATGGATGATGATTGCCGCCGAGGGTGTTACTTGTCACATAGAGAGATACAGAGGGAGATACACACACATTCCGAAATATTACTGCAGTCATGCTACATTGTAAGAAGTCACAAACAGCTTATAAGAGCTACATACTCAAAAGGCTTTAAGTAGCTTACCCTAAAGTTTTAAGCATATCCATCGAAATTTGAACAACCTATAGGTATGAGTTAAAGAACAAAGGGATAGTATAGAGCTTCCAGGACCTGTATTGATTAGTATCTGTAATTTAAACCCGATTCAAAAGCATCGCTAAAGGCAACCAGACAACCTTATGTTCTCCGAAAATGCAAAACCAAGAAGCAACATATAAGCAAAGAATGAGTTTCACCTGCTCATATTTCTTTGGGAAATATTTTTGCATAAGAGCCTTCAGTATCTCTTGTATATTCTCTGCAGGTTCTCTCCGCGTAAGTAACTGAACCGCGATATTGTTCATATCTTTACTTTTCAAACTCCTTATTGAAGTGTCGATGCAAGCAATCTTTGCTCTCAATGCACTCAACATATTTCGGACCCATATTTCGGACCATTCTTCCTGCTCAGCCCAGGCTAGTTAACTTTGAAGAGACATCAAATCTTTTTCAAGTTCATCAATTTCAGTATCTGCCTTTTTTTATCAATATCTTCAACACATGTACGCACCATTTCTCATCTTCCGCTTCTTCTAACAGATCTATGTATAACCATACGAAAAAGAAAAAAGAAAAAAAAAGGTGCGCGAATATTAAAGTACAAACAGACATGATGAGGAACAATGACTCGAATGAAGAAGAAACGAGATGTATTACACCACGACCATAACCAAAGTGGAAGTCACACTGCCATCCTGATTCGACGCCGTAACTCCCAGGTGCAACTGAAATGCAAGTATCCAATTACAGTTCAGTAGAATAAGGATAATATTTCTACAACCAAATATCTCTGATAAGATCTATAACAATGTAGTTTTGAATGTTGGTTGTAAAAACTAGCTAGCCAGCATGGTGTAAGAGAGGTTTGGTGAGCTGATGAACCCGAAACATCCCAATAAACATATGGTGAACTCCAAAAATCCCAAGAATCAGCCATGAATTGCAAGAGTATGCTCACCACCCCTTCCAATGCTTGTCACGGGTAATCCACACTAACCCTAGTTAAGTCTAATTTTTTTAATTTTTTTCTGTTCTAATTAATAGGAGAGAGAATCCTACTTTTACTCAATTACTTCCATATTTATTCTTTCTTCTTTTTATATTTCATTAGACCATCTCCAAAGGAGATGTCAAATCCTAAGTAGAATGTCATGTAATTAAATTTGAAGGTAAGAGCAAGCTCCAAACGGATTGACATATGAGTTTTCATATGTCAAATTTGACGTATGGAAAAAAAAATTAATAAAAAGGGTTTGAAAACTTTGAGTTTTAATCAAAATGACAAAAAAGTGTTGTAAGTAAATAATATCAGGAGTGACTTTTTAAAGTAAAAATGTCATTTCATTAAAAATGAACAGTATTGTTTCGTTAAAACTCCCTATAAAAAAATGTGATGTCAAATAATTTTTAATTATTTTATTGTGTGGGTTCCATTAATGTTATAGATCTTGAAAATTTATTTTAATTGATTCTTTTTTAAATAGATCCTATAAAAACACATCAGTTGGAAAAAGAGGAAATCTGACATTGTCACGTCAATCATCAAATTAACATTTGACATTTATTATCTTTTGACATCTCCTTTGGAAATACTCTTAAAACTCTGTTTTTTTTTTTAATACAAACAGACAACTCGCATGAATCTTATGAGTTTTTCATTCTTCTTGTTGAAACCTACTCTAACAGATTGGAAGAACCTGCTATTTTTCTCTGACTATCAAAAGTCATCCTAGTGAAATATCACCAACTTTGCTTGTAAAATCTCATTTTTCATCATTTTGATCCAAGACTTCAAAGGTTTCGGAATCTAAATCTAAGTAGTGTATACAATCAACTGGTTCTTTGCATCACTGGAAAATGGAGTATGAAACTCATCATGTTGGTATTCTATTTGTATAAGCATCAAATTAGTTAATATTGTATTAAATTGACATCCTATAATAATCCAAAAAAGCATGTACATGGAAACCCTAATAATCCTAAAAAGCAAAAAAAAGGGAGATGCACACCCTTTCTAGTTGGAGAAAATGAGTAGGTTCATGTCTACCGTTTCTTATGTCGATTAGGAATGTCATTTCCATGCAAGCGTTTTAGAAGCCACTAGCAAGAATGCCCGCGCTTTGCTGTGGGTTTTCAAACCATGAATAATCTTCACATCACAATAATTAACCACAATCCTCTTTTTTTCTAAGTGCAAATAGAAAAACGGAATCAAAGTATTCAACCCAAAATCTTCACATTAGCTCAAAAACTATATTGTTTCCAGAGCTTTCCAATTTTCCAGCATTGAACGACAAACATAATAGCACTAAAATATATAATTGAAAAAAAAAATAACAATTCCAAGAAACTAAATGCGAAGTTCGGCAGATCTGCACAGTAACACAAACCCATTACTTGAAATTAAGAGCATTTCAGCTCACCTTGAAAGCATCCATTTTCCGATAAGGGAGAGAAAGGCTGCTGTTCTAGCTACTGAGTGCTTCTGGCTCCAAAGCAGTTTATCTTCCAGAACTTTATAAAAGCAAGTCACCCTTTCAAAGCCACCATAAATCGCCAGTTTACATCATTTTGCTTGCCTAAAAAATGCAAACAAAAAAAGAAAAAAATAATAGAAAGTATAAGATTCAAACATGTTTACAATTACAAACACTTTACAATGCATGTAAAAATTAAACGTTCTCAAGCACCCACGTCTCCGATTCTAGTCTAAAACTCAATTCCACAAAAGAAATCAACAATTTTGATCAAAACAGAAAAGCCAACAGATCCAAAAGCCCACAATACAATTACACACATCCTTAGCTTCCATGGAAATCAACAATTCCACATAAGTACACAAAAGATTTTCTTACACCTAATTTCGCAGCTTAAAGAGCAATAGTTATACTAAAACAACAATTAATTGAAACCATTGAAGGGGAAAAATGCAAAAGTGGATAAAAACTTAGAATTCAACAAAGATTGTGTTCCCAATCTAAATACATTATAAACTCCAGCACAAAATAAAACTCAGGTCTCTTTTAAGCACTAAAGCTCAGTTCATGTGGATTTTGGGAAAAAAAAAGGTCCAAAACTTAACAATCCAGATTAGGGGAAACAATTAAACTGTAAAATTAACAACAACTAAACAAAGTAATGAACTAAAAACCCAAAAAAAAAAAAAGCAACTGACCTTAAAACAAAGAACAAATAGACAGAACAGAGAGCGAATCCCCAAAATAAGAGAAAATGAAACAAATAAGGGAATAAAGAGAGAGATGAATCCCCCAAAACTGGACCTAACGTACTAAAAATTTTGAAAATCTAATCTAATATTACAGAATCCACCTATGTATTGTATTAAACCTCAAAGACACCTCCACCTTTTAACTGAAAAGCTTAGTCAACATACCACCTCCTAATATAAACACTTGCTTATAAATATGACTCATAAATAGTTTTGATCTTAAACAAAAGAATGGATGTATCCCTTCCCCTTTTTTTTTTTGGCCTGAATGTATCCTTTCCCTTTAAAGGTTGCACTGTCCTAGAAGTAAACTCATTATGATGAAAGTAAATGATTTCACATAAAACAATTGTAGCCTCTAACAGTTCAACACAAACATAAAATTATCATGATTCATACTTCTGCACTGATATGAAATTTTATAAACTGGACAAAAGGAACCCGATTTCATTGACTTCACAGTGCAAGTGCTGTAAAAAAATAAGCAAACACTGGCAATATGATCACACACATTCCAAGTATTAATACATCCAACTGCAAAACAGATGGCAATATGATCAACCACATTCCAAGTATTAATACATCTAACAATGAAGGTAGAGATTAATTGTAGAAGAGATGATTGCAATTGAGTGAATCAGCAAAACTCAGTAGACTTAAACTGCAAAATAGATAGGGAAAAATCAAACCCAGTTAATAAAGTGGAGAGAAATTTTAAATCTTTAAACGAATTCTAGACAAAATCATGTAAAGGAATTAAATGTTGCAGATTATAAATTAAAAAAAAATAACCATTTAAATTTGTTTACTTGCCGGCTTCCTATCTGGTTGTAGAGGCTGCAGATAATGTTGTCTTCCTCTTTAGTGAAGCTTCCATGTTTGATGTCTAGCCTCTTCCCGCACCGCCTCAAACCTACAAAGTGTAGAAAAATTAATAAAGTTGAGAACTCTTGCAGAGATTGGCAAAGAAAATAAAACCCTTTTCTCATTTCTCCTAGAACAGCATGGAGTACGTCCCATGATTACTTATTGTGTGCCCTCACTCACTCCCTAAGGAGCAACCAGACACAGACACAGATAGCAACTAAATTGCAATTTCAAAACAAAGGTAACTTTTGTTCTTCAAACCAAGAACCACATATGCATACCAAAATGATGACGCTGCGTGGGAGTCCAACTAAACAACCAAAAAATAAAGAGAATAAGAGTAAGAATTCGAACAGAGTTCATGCATTTATATTGTATAAATGACTCTTAGCTTGTTTTGCTTCTTGTAGGCTTATGAGTTTCAGGAAAATGTGTTAATTAGTTCCTCTCATAGAACTAAAGAGGTGTTTTCTAGAGACCTAGAATATATGGAATCTCTACCCAGCAATAAAAATAGAGAACATCACATAGGCAACATAAGCCGAACAGAAATCCCACATTTCACAACCAAATCATCATATCAGTTTGAAACATTAAACTATAAGAACTAAAAATAATAATAACAGTACCTTGAACTGAATCCTTAGGTCAAAACCTCTTGCTTTGCAACCTGAAACGAACGAAAGAAATTATTGAAGGAAGATTTGTGAAAAACAAGTTTATTTGAGCAACATCAACAACATGCAATTAACAATTAAAAGGCGGAATCATGTTTATATGCACTCAAAAACAAAACTTAACCCATGAACTTCAAAGCCTAGTAGATAGGTAAACCAAGACTCAACTCAAAACAAAGTGAGTTGAGAAATCGATACCTTTGTAGATTCCTCTTTGCATAAGCAAAGGCTAATTACCCAAAGAGAGGGCCTTCATTCCTTGCATCTTAGATCCATGGATTTGGATGGATGAAAAGGTTTCTCCAAGTTCCCAAAATTGAGAACCTCTAAGTCTCCACACCAAGGCATATTGTAGAAGAAATGAGTGACATTGAGGAAGTAAGATTGCTAGATGTTTTCCTCAAGGGTGGCCGGCCATTTCTAGAGAGAAAGGAGAGTTTGTGTTCTCATCTTTACTCCTTAGAAAACCCTTAGGATGAAATGGCTATAAAGATGTCTTTATACCACCTCACAATGGAGTGGCAAACTTGGAATTAAGCCAAGTTCACTACCCTCCTCTAAATGGCCGGCCATATGGGATTTATTGGGCTATTTGGACCTTTGTGAATCATTATTTATTAAGTTGTCATACAACTTAAGTCAATGGACTTGACGTTCGAAGCCCATTGGGCCTTAAGGTCCAAAACTATCTCGAGGTCTTTTAACGAACTTATTCGTTTGATTAATAATCATATTAATTAATCCTTGCCATAAAAAATTAAACCATTTAATTATTCTTACTCATCTCCGTTGAATCTTCAATTTCTACCTTACACGGTGTACGATCCATTAGGTTCCTTTTAGCGAGACAGTGGGCGATTCAAACTCTTTCAAATCGATTGTGAATTGAAACTTACTTTCAATTCTCCCGTTAGTGATAATACACTTTTAGGGCTTCCACAAACCATGGTTGACGCCTAGCAGTATGTCATGGTTACCCAAGCTAATCAGAAGAGGTGGAGAACCTATTCAGTTTTAGGATTACAAATGCAATACGGTCTTTCTCTAATATAATACTCTTGACCACATTGTTTGGTTTGATAGTTTATTCATGTCTACTATCCAATGTGAGTCTTGTGCTTATATGATTACCTTGAATGTGATTTGGAACACATTCCTAAATCTCATTCATACTTTGGCCAAAGATTCTTAATCATATCATAGAGTATTCTCCCTCAAACAGTTTGAAGGTTAGAGATCCCTTGTTGCGCATTCACTTGCCTCCATGGCTAAGTGGCTTAACCCCAACGATGCCGTGGACACTCTCCTAATGGAGTGACTTTGACATAATCAAAGATTAAGGACCTAACCACAAGACAACTGTGATGCCTCAGGTCAAAAGACTAATTTGCATTATCCCAACCATGAGTTCTCATGTGACATGAATATGAGAACTCTTCGTTGATCGTGTTCAGTGAACTCATTCTCTATTGAGCACCTACGTATTTGTCTTGATGTCACACACACCAATGACTCGAGACTAGTCACTCTCCCTGAGAGAAGACATAGCACGCACTGATCTTAACGGACTGTCAATGCCCAATTGACAATCCTATGATTAGGAACGTTTAGGATGTGTCAACGAAAGAATGGTCTCATGAATCTAACTTCTTTAGATCGCATTCTTCGAATCACATATTCCTTAGACTTATCGTTTAAGCATATAACATTTATATGAGACGGCTCAAACAATAATCTTTGCCCTTTACATTTAAACTACATTAGTTTGAAATGTCCGTAAAGTATCATCATATGATTGGTTTTAGGGCACATTTCCAACAATTATAACCCACGAACCCACAATCAGATAAAAACAATTTTCTAGGAAAAACAAAACCAAGATTGGTATACAAAAAACCATCAGATCTATAACCTGAAAAAAGAAATAAAAAGCCACACAAAAAAACCCATTAAAAAAAAAAAGCAACCGACCTTAAAACAGAGAACAAACAGACAGAAAGAGAGATGAATGTCTAAAATGAGAGAAAACAAAACAAATAAGGGAAATTAATATCTCTGATGAATCCCCCAAAACCTGACCCAACACACTAAAAAAATCGAAAATAATCCACAATAAAAAGGCAGAAACGATAACAATCTAAGCTGACAGTAAAAAAATGAACTTATCTTTGGAAATCCAGGCATGCAGCGGCAAATCCGGACGACCTGTATGGTTTTCTCTGACCATCCCCACTCTCCCACTTCTGAAAATCATCACCCATACCCCTCCCCTTCGCTTTCTTTCCATCGCCATCTATCTCTCTCTCTCTCTCTCTCTCTCTCTCTCTCTCCCCCCTCTCTCTGTCAGAGCTTCCATCCCCCCAAAGCCCTCATTAAAGGACAACAAATAAAAACCTACACGGCAACCCCCAAATTCGCTCAAAACCGAGAGGACAAAATTGCCCTTCCAACCCAACCCAAATCTGATGGGTTTCTTGCAAATAAGGTGAAATCAAGGGGTAATCCGTCCTAAACCCTCCGGACAAAATTACCCTTCTGAGTTCAAATAAATACCCTTCAAACCCAGCCCAAATCTCATGGTTTTATTATAAATGAGATGAAATCAAGGGGCAAACAATTGACTGTAGCTGAATGAACAGTCAATTCCTCCTCAATTTTAGAATAGATAATGTCATCATGTGTAGGCCCAAGAGTAAACGACATGACAAATACCCTTTCATGTGTCTACATTCTTGCCACGTTATTTCCATGCGCAACCTAAACGAATTTCATCATTCCCAATATTGAAATTACAAACAATTCATTAAGAGAATTATTATTAGTACTTCAAAAATCTCATTCTATACTCCAAATTTTCTATATTTGAAAAGAAAAATACATTTGTGAGAAGTGTAGAATGAGATTTTTGGAGTGCTAATAACACTTCCCTTCATTAATGGGCAAATAAATGAACATGTAGTTCAAACTTCAAAAATTATTCTTGAGTGTACGTACTGAAGTAAATGAAGTCACTAATATGACGTGTGACTTTTCAATAAAGATATGACATGTGTATTATTGTTTATTACATTATTAAACTACAATGTCACGCTAACATCGTAATCAAGAAAATTTGCCTCTATAAAGAACAAGACTCCAGGAGATCAAATATATACATGCTGAAAGGCAACAAATGTCCTGAATAATATTATTTGATCGCCTAGGCGTCTGACACTTGTTTACGATGGTCTCCGGATCCCCATATTGGGGATGCCAGGGATCAATGCATCATAACCGTTCATTAAAACTTGTGTGGCCACAATTAAATACTTTTTATATTTTTAAAAATAAAGTAGTCTCGTTTTGCATAAAATATATATAAAAAAAATTATGACTGCACAATCTTTGATGAGGTTATTATGCATTGATTTCCGGACTTCCTGGTGAAGGGATCTAGAGAGGATCTAAATCCTTAAATCAAGGAATAAGATTCTCTCTCTTTTTTTTCCCTCCTCTCATACGTTCGAATTTGTCTTTTTCTTTCTATAAAAAAAATTAATATAAGATATTGACATGATTTAATTATAATCGTTTAAATAGAAGGAGAGAAGGGAGGGAAAAAAAAGAGGAAAGAAAATCATACTTCTTAAAAAGAAAATCATACTTCTTAAAAAGAAAATCATACTTCTTAAATCAATGGATAATTATTTAAATAAAATGATTTCTTTTGTGGATCACAAATTGTCAGCCCAACCTTGTTGTTTCGACTAAGCGGTTATATTTTTGCTCACTAGTCTCAAGTGGTGGTAATGCTTACCACCTTACTTATTATCGTTGAATACACTTAATTTGAAAATTTATGTCTATTCACTATAAAAATCTTGAAATTTAAATATTTCAACTATATTTAATAAAATGATAAGCATCACTAAGGTGGAGATCAAAATTATTCTCAAACAAAATACCAAAAAACAAAAAAAAAAAAAAAAGAAAAACAAAACACTGGGTGTGGATTTTGTTTCTTGCCACGATTGCATGTTCCTTCCACCTACGCGTC